CTTATTTTTCATTGCTGAGTAATACTCCATTGTATAGATGTACCACAACTTCTGCATCCATTCTTCAGTTGAGGGGCATCTGGGCTGTTTCCAGTTCCTGGCTATTACAAATAAAGCAGCTACAAACATGGTTGAGCAAATGTCCTTTTTGTGTACTTGAGTCTCTTTTGGATATATGCCTAGGAGTGGTATGGCTGGATCTTGAGGAAGCACTATTCCTAGTTGTCTGAGAAAGCGCCAGATAGATTTCCAGAGTGGTTGTACCAGTTTACATTCTCACCAGCAGTGCAAGAGGGTTCCCCTTTCTCCACAACCTCTCCAGCATGTGTTGTCACTTGAGTTTTTCATCTTGGCCATTCTGATGGGTGTAAGGTGAAATCCCAGGGTTGTTTTGATTTGCATTTCCCTAATGGCTAATGAGGTTGAGCATTTCTTTAAGTGCTTCTCTGCCATTCAATATTCCTCTGTTGAGAATTCTCTCTTTAGCTCTGTTCCCCATTTTTTAAGTGGATTACTTGGTTTATTGCTTTTCAGCTTGTTTAGTTCTTTATATATATTGGATATGAGTCCTCTGTGAGATAAAGGGTTGGTGATGATTCTTTCCCATTCTGTAGGCAGCCGCTTTGTTTTGATGACGGTGTCCTTTGCTTTACAGAAGCTTTTCAATTTCATGAGGTCCCATTTATTGATTGTTGCTCTCAGAGCCTGTGCTGTTGGTGTTGTGTTCAGGAAGTTTTCTCCTGTACCAATGAGTTCTAGGGTATTCCCCACTTTTTTTTCTAGCTAATTTAATGTGTCTGGTTTTATGTTGAGGTCTTTGATTCACTTGGACTTCAGTTTTGTGCAGGGTGATAAGTATGGATCTATTTTCATTTTTCTACATGTAGACATCCAGTCGGACCAGCACCATTTGTTGAAGATGCTATCTTTTTTCCATTGTATGGTTTTGGCATCTTTGTCAAAAATCAGGTGTCCATAAGTGTGTGGGTTTATTTCTGGGTCTTCTGTTTGATTCCATTGACCCACCATTCTGTTTCTATGCCAGTACCATGCAGTTTTTATAACTATTGCTCTATAGTACAGCTTGAGATCAGGGATGGAGATACCTCCAGAAGATCTTTTATTGTAGAGGATTGTTTTAGCAATTCTGGGTTTCTTGTTATTCCATAAGAAGTTGAGAATTTTTCTTTCCAGTTCTGTAAAGAATTGTGTTGGCAATTTGATCGGAATTGCATTAAGTCTGTAGATTGCTTTTGGTAAGATGGCCATTTTTACTATGTTAATCCTGCCAAGCCCTGAGCATGGGAGATCTTTCCATCTTCTCATATCTTTTTCTAATTCTTACTTCAGAGACTTGAAATTTTTTTTCATACAAGTCTTTGACTTCCTTGGTTAGGGTTACAAATGGTGGCATGTTTACACAAATTTGAGACAGGTGATGCTTATTCTAAGCATTACAAGGCCATGTCGTGATTGAAATCACATGGTGGGGGAGAGAATTCAGCATTTAAAAAATTTTTTTTTATTAATTACACTTTATTCATTTTGTATCCCCCATAAGCCCCTCCTGGACAATTATTTGACCCGTGAATATTGACTCCAGATCACCATTGTAGTTGGCTCACTGTTTATTGTTCTCCTTTGGTAGCACACTGTCATAAAGTTTATTGCAGCAACATAACACATTGATTAAAGCCAAGTTGGGAAGGAAGGGGTTATTCTGTTTTTGCTTCTGTATTGCTGTTCATTACCAAAGGAATTCAGAGCGGGAACCTAGAGGCAGGAGCTGACGTGGATGCCATGCAGGGGTGCTTGCTTCACGTGGTTTGCTTGACCTGCTTTCTTACAGAACCCAGGCCTGCCTGCCATCACAGGGGTGGCACAGCCTTCAGTGTGCTGCCTCCCACCTCCATGAACACTAGTTAGGTTGTCCCACAACACGGTCTTATGGAGACATTTTCTCCATTGCTGTTCCTTCCTCTCAAATGACTAAGGTGTGTGTCAGGCTGACATAAATCTAGCTTGCATACGTATACAGTAACTTCCGGTGACATGAACATTACTCTGCAGCTATAAGCGTTCTAGAAATAGATAGGCACAAATTCTCTATGTTCAGTGAATTGTGTGGGTATTGTCTTCAGGAACAGGGATCTTTTGTTTCAGATTGTAGAGAACAATCAGTAGTCTTGGCAATAACCTGGATTCCTTGAGGATTTTTATGGGATACCTGTAGCCAATAACTGAGTTAGATGTAACCCATTCCTGGAACTGAAAGCTTCAATGGTGACAACAGATATACAATTGTGGCTCAGTCTCCTAGTGATTTGTTTATTTTATTTATATCACCTTCATATTTGTACGTACTTTAAGGAAAATTCTATTGTATTAAGTTTCTATATGACCACTAAAATGCCTCCTACTTTTAAACATTACTCTCCGTATTTTCTCCCTTGCACCCGTCTTATCTAGCCTTCCCAGTTTGATATTCTCGCTCTAGTTTAAACCGATTCATCCTTAATTACGTATTTTATTTCTTCTTCCCATGGAGATCCATCACTCACTACTTGTTACTTATTCTTAACAAATACTCTCTATCTATATGGAATATAGTTTGCTTACCAGTGACTTAGCAGGTAACATCCACATAAAAAACTGCTGTCAGAATGCATATTGTAAGAGAAGATCTATTTTCAAGTAAACAAAAAATCACTAGATAAGAACACCTCAGACGAGAGAAAAGCTGGTCATCAGAAACTAAAGTGCAAATTAATCTAGTACATTATCAGGAAGTAGATAAGTCCATCTTTTGTTGATATTTAGATATTAAGAGAGTGAATAAGTATTTAGCAAAACTATAGCTATTATATAAAAAGCCTTTCTTTGTAGCAAGTGTAACATTTTATAAACACAGAGTTTGCCATGTAGGAGTTTTTAAGTATGACAAAAACAAATAGTTAAAATGAGAATAATGAAGCCTTTTACCCTTTTTTTTTTCAAAAGAAACCGATGAGAGACATGATAATTTTCAGTTTGCTTTTTGTTTTTGTTTTGTTTTGATTTTTGATAGACATAAATATTCAAGTCATTTTTATAGACATATTCTGTGAAGAGGAAGAAAGCAGTTCTCCAGACTTAAGAGAAAGCTATTGACATCAGGGCTAATAAACGTGTGATGAATGTTAAAAGCACATCTAAGAGAACTCTCAAGGCCTCCATCCACTGTTAGCCGATATTCTTATGCTTCACAGTGTCTTGAGAGATGGATATACTTCTTCTACCTTAGCAACAAGTCCCTTTACCCACTGATCCATCTCACTGCCAGAAGTCTTGATTCCTGAATGGAGTCACAGGGCAATACATTTCTCAAACCAGCAGGCAAGTATTTGTACAGAAGAGGAAGAAGAAATAAGGGACAAACAAGAATGAACACAACTTTAGCTGTGTTCATTCTCTGAGCTCTTTATTCCAGGCAGGAACTCCTATAGATAAGATAAGAAGCAAAAAAATAAAAATACATAAAAAAACCAGAAATATTATTTTTTCCTTTTTATTTATATATTTATTTATTACAACTTAATCACTTTGTATCCCAGCTGTATACTCCTTCTTTGTCCCCTAATAATTCTGCCCTCTGTCCCTCTTCTCCTCCCCTCCCCCTCCCCAAGTCTACTGATAAGGGAGGTCCTCCTCACTTTCCATCTGACCCTAGTCTATCAGGTCTCATCAGGACTGTCTGCATTGTCTTCTTCTGTGGCCTGGTAAGGCTGCCCCTCTCCTTAGGGGAAGGATATCAAAGAGCCAGCCACTGAGGTCATGTTATAGGCCCTGTTCCCCTTACTAGGGTACCCACTTGGAGACTGAGCTGCCATGGGCTACATCTGTGCAGGGGTTCTAGGTTATCTCCATGCATGGTCATTGGTTAGAGGATCAGTCTCAGAAAAGACACCTGTTCACAGTTTTTTTTGGTTCTATTGCTCTCCTTGGAAATAGTACAGGGACCTAACCCAGAAGGCCTCTGAAAGACTCTACCCAGCAGGGTTTCGAAGCAGATGCTGAGACTCATAGCCAAACTATGGGCAGAGTGTAGGGAATCTTATGAATGAAGGGGGAGGTGAAACATCTGGAGGAGATCTTTCAAGAATTCAGGAGCTCCAGAATTCTTGAAGGACAAGAGTACAACTTTTCTTTTTATCTCTAAACTATATCAACTTGACTCTTTGTTATCTATTAATCAATAAGAACCTAGTTTATTTAATTACTCCACAGGATATTTTATATATGGATTGTATGTTAATTAGATCTGGAAATGAAATGTGTACGTTTTAGATGTTTTGGTAAATATGGAGATTTTAGAATATTAAAAATAAATCCTTGGAAAAACTAAAATAAACTTGCTCTTTCAAGTACTTTGATGAATTTCTTGGAATTTTTATGATCATTAAATTTGATTCTTTAGATTGCTTTTGGTAGGATGGCCATTTTTTACTCTATTAATTCTAATAATCCATGAGCATTGAAGTGCATTCATGTTCTGATATCTTCACTTTGTTTCTTAAATATCTTAACATTTTATGATAAAAATTTTTTAACTTGCTTGATAAGCGTAACCTGAGATATTTTGTAGTTTTTAAGAGTATTGTCTCAAAAGGTGTTGGCTGTTCTTTTGTACATTGTATTACTTTTGTTACTTAAAAGGTAAAGAGTGTTGTTTCTATGTTTTCTTTCTAAATATATTTGTATATGGGAAAGCTAGTGATTTTGTGTTAGCATTGTGTCCTACCAGTTTCTTGAAAGTGTTTATGAACTGTAGAAACTTCCCTGTCTAATTTTAAGGTCACTTATCCTTAGACCAAATGAATGCAAATGATTGTTATTAGAAAAAGAGTGCAGTCTCGACTTTAAGATTTCATTTCAAAATTAAAATCGACCTGTTGTACTGGTTTTTATGGGAGCCATTTAATTTTTTACTGTGAGATGCTTTATGCACATTTATAGAAACAAAAATTATATTGCTTTTCTTTACAAATTTGTGTGTCATCCTTGTGCAGGGGTCATGCTAATCTCTGTATTGTTCTAATTTTAGTATATGTGCTGCCAAAGTGAGCACTATAGTTTTTCTTATATTGCTTTTTAGGACAAAGATGAAACACTTGTAATATTGGTGCAAAATTACAGTACGATTTATACATATTTTTGAAAAGTGAATGGAAAACAATGTAAGATATACTTAAATGACTAATGTATTAAGTTTAAATAGAAACCAATGTATGTCTTAGCAAATCAAAACACAGCAATGCATATTCAAAGTATTAATAAATTACATGTTTATTAATAGATGATATTATTTATTATGATAAAAAGACTGGGGATATATTAGTAAAATGAAAATGGGGTTAGAACTGTGTATTATCTATAACTAGTGTGCTACCACATTCTACAAAATTCAGTGTGTTCTCTCGGTTGAACTTCACAATGTGCTTTTTAGAATGAGCAAAATATGATTAAATCAAGGCACTGAAAAGAGTGCTTTAAGGTGAGACTTGGAAACTCAAAAACTAGTGGTGCATGAACCATAAACTATCACCAGTGGGAATTGCTGGTGCAACTTAGTAAACTGATTCTACATATGAAAAGCATTCATAGCTCAATATGTTTATTTATTTTTTTTAGAAATGGTTTTAAATATAAGGAAGAAATGATCATATATTCAATCATTGTATGTTACTTTCAACAAGTTCCAATTTTTTTAATGTGTTTTGTATCTAGGAGCTCAACAACTGTGGTGGGCTGTTTTTATGCCTACGCCACAGTGATAATTATTCCCCTCACAATGTGTGGCACTTTTATCAAGGACTTTACAGCCAACTTAGTGCTACAGTTCCTTCATTAAAACTGTTAAGTGGAATTGTCAATACTTGTTTTATTGACAAAGGTTGCAAAGCTGCTATTTTTCACTTCTGAAAACTTGTCACAGTAAAAAGTCATCACCTGCTAAGATTTTTAAAATATGCATAAGTACATTGGAATAATTCTACTATAATTGCTATTCAAAAATACTGTTCTGGGAATCTTGTATGCTATATAGAAAAATAGAATTTAGCAAAAATGTATGAAAAGATAAAATATTCCTGGATTTCAGAAAAAAATAAAATTTAAATAGGTGAATAAATGTCCTAGTTTTAGAAGAATATATATATATATATATATATATATATATATATATATATATATCCATATCAGGGATATGAAATGGCAGAAAATGAGTTATTGATCAGCTATGTATATATATATATATATATATATATATATTTGATATATAAAATAACATATATATGTCATATATACATGTGTGTAAACTACAAGAAAATATGACACAGATGTTAAATTTTCAACTCTCTATGTAACTGTGCTATTCATTATTGGGAAACATCAGTGGGAAGATTGTGCAATCCTTGCCTTCAGGGCCAGTGACTGAAATTATGTCATGTGACAGTGATACGTTTAGCTGTAGAAGTAGCTTATTACAACAATAACTTAAATGGTTAATATTTACAGCCTTTTACAAATACATTTGTAATGATAAATGTGTTTAGTCCTACTGTAACTTGATATCCCAAGACAGAATGATGTCCATGAGAGCCTATTCTGTGGAGAAAAAGAAGAGGACAGGAAAATAGTGGGGAAGTGAGTTGAGATGGAGAGACTGTGGGTAGAGGAGTGAGAGGAAGCTGTTTTCTGGATGTAAAATTAACTAATTAATTGATTATTATGCTAGTAATGAAAAAATAAGATATTAGTGTCAGATCTTATTTCTAGAGTTCGGGCACTTTTGATCACATGATGAACAGGTTAAATACATTGCATACATCCCTAAATTATGGAAAAATCAGTATCAATTCTTTAATTAAAAAATTGTGTATCGTGTATACAAATGCAACATTTATGCTATAGATAACACAAAGGTAAAAAGGTATATAATATGCAACCTATATAATTCCATCTTATGCATGTTTTTTAATTAGTAATGTAAAAGCAATTGGACGGAAAGAAGAGAACAACATTAAAATATTTTGTGAGGAAAAGTTAATTAAGTAATTATGATTTGTTTTGGTTAAAGCTGTCTATGATGACTACTGGGGTACATGTTTGTATTTGGGTTTTTATAAGCCTGAAGGAAAACTGTGGAACAAACCTAAAACATTTTGTAGTACTGGAATACAGGATTAAAAATAACCTCAATGCTAAACTTAAATTACAGGAAAAAAACCTTATAAAGAATAAATAAATTAATATTCTTGGAAGAATGTCAGTGTTTAAATATACGATTAAAGAATTGATTACACTGATTTTTTTTTGTAATTACAAAAAATAAAACTGAGGGAAAGAATTAAAGCAAAGGCTATAAAATGGAGAATAGAATCACATTACATTGCTGTTTACAGAATAAGACAGCAATAGCAAAGGATAACATTAAAGATGCTTAACTGAACCATAATAAATGTTTTAAGGACTGAATGTTAGATCGGAAATGACACTGGTGCAGAAATAATACATGTCCAAGAAATTATGGGATTGACAATGTGAAAATATTCCCATTCCTTGAATGTGGTCTAAAGAAACAGGCTTGGAAGGAGTTAAGATATAAAACTAGCTACTCCTGTTAAGACAGTGGGATCCAGCCACAGGCTACAGGGATTTCACTTCTCTGTCACCACGCATCCCTCACTTAGAGAAACACCAACACTGCAGAAGAAAGTCATTCTTCGTGATAAGCAATTCTGTCCTGTGATCATCTGTAATGAAAACTATTGAGGAAAGTTCAATGGGCTGTTTCTGTGAGAGGGTTACTTTAGAAATGTTCTTATGGTCTACTCGAAGATATTTTTGAGCTTTTCTAAAAGGACACAATTCAAGTTTAACAGAGCAGAAAAAGGTTGCATATTTTTAGGTCAGATCACTGTGCCTAAAAACAGTTTAATGTCTTTAATTAACTTACTTCTATATAATGGCCCCAGACTGGCATCCTGCTATGCCAAATGTCCATACTTTTTGTGTTTTCAGCCATGTATTTTTAGGAAAACACATGTTAATTAACTTAATTACTGTTCAGTTCACATAGAAGAGATTAAGAATTATTAATTAGAATCATTTATTAAGGCAGAGTGAATAAAGAAACGTGGAATTAGAGTTAAGAAACTCCAATTTAATTTAAATAAATATATAATCAAGTGTTTAATCTTGATTAAGGTCATTATCTTCTCTAGGTTTCCCTGATAGGATTTAGGAAAGTGGAGATTCAAGACAGAATATGTGTTGGTACACTTTATCCATGAAGACCTAGTCACACACATTGGGAAAGTTTTCTGGATTTGAGTTTCAAATCTAATATGGAAAGTTGTTGTAAAAAATTATAATATTTGACTCAGAGATTTGAATTAAGGGCCAGCATACACTATCTAATTAATGATCACATTGTCTTATAGATTATAGGAGAGACTTGTTTTTGTTAAGCTCTATCAATCTTCAGAATTTTTTTTTCTATAAGCATCCATGGAGTGCTTAGTTTTATTTTTCTATTAAATGGTAAAGTGGTCAAAGAGCCAGCCAGTAATTTCATGTCAAAGACAGTCCATGGTCCCATTTAGTGGCTGGCTCTTTGATCACCTCTCCATGATAGGGGAGCAGTCTTGCCAGGCCACAAAGGAAGACAATGCAGCCAATACTGATAAGAACTGATAGGCTAGGGTCAAAGGGAAGGAGAGGAAGACCTCCTCTATCAGGGGGTCTAGGATCTTTCCAAGCATGGTCCTTGGTTGATTCATCAGTCTCTACAGCAACCCTGAACCAAGTTTCTTTCTTTGTCTTTCTTTCTTTCTTTCTTTCTTTTCTTTCTCTTTCTTTCTTTCTTTCTTTCTTTCTTTCTTTCTTTCTTTCTTTCTTTCTTTCTTTCTTTCTTTCTTTCTTTCCTCCTTTGGTCTCTTTGTGGAGGTCCTATCCCCTCTAAGTCTTTATATCTTCCCCTTCTTCCATTAGATTCCCTGCACTCTGCCCAAAGTTTGGCTATAAGTCTCAGCATGTATTTCAATATCCTACTGTGTAGATTCTTTCATAGGCCCTCTGTTGTAAGTTCTTGCCTTATTCCCTTTTTGTCCAACTTCTGATGTCTGTAGTGTTTGCCCTTCTGAACGAGGATTAAGTCTCTTCCCTAAGGTCCTGCTTGTTGTTTAGCTTATTTAGGACTACTATACGTTTTAGTATGTTTATCCTATAATACATGGCTAATATCCACTTACAAGTGAGTATATATCATATGTGTCTTTCTGCTTCTGGGATCCCTGTCTCAAGATGATCATTTCTAGTTCCTTCCATTAGCCTGCAAATTTCATGATTTCCTTGTTTTCAATTGCGGTGTAGTATTCCATGGTGTAAATGTACCACAATTCCTATATCCACTTTTCAGTTGAGGGACATCTAAGTTGTTTCCAGCTTCTGGCTATTACGAATAAGCTGTTATTAATCGAATTTTATGTGGAAGAGTGTTTTGCCTGCATATGTGAATGTTTGCCCCTACATGTTTAATACACAAGGAGATCATAAAAGATTGTTCCATCCCCTGGAACTTGTGTTATAAGTGTTTATGAGACAACATTTGGATTTGGATGTTGGAAAAGGAACTTAGAAATTCTTCAAAAGCAAATCAGTGCTCTTAACTGCTGAGACATGACTCTAGCCACCTGAGATTAGTCTCAGTCATTTTTGTCTATTACAAGTCTGGAAACTGGATGGGAATAGCTACAAAATTCACATAGTTCAAGAATACCAATAGAGAACTTATACATACCTCTCTGTCAACAGATGTAACTTTGGATTTCCACATCATGATTGTTATTTTTCTGTCTTGAGGAAGAGAATCTGAGAGTGAGATACATTTGACCTATCACACAATACACTCCTGTTCTCCTTCTTAGGTCAAAGGGGGCAAAAGGAACCATCTCTTCAAGGATATCAAAATAGGACACACATTCTACCTTGTAATGGTTAAGAGAAGGTTATTCAAGGTTTAACAGTAACATAGATTTGGAGAAAATATGCTTTATCCACTTGGCT